TTATCTTATTTTCTATCTCGCTGATCTAAAGCTAAAGTTTTTACAATATATGTAGCTGATACTATGTACTTTGGTATTTCTATAGCATTTCTAGCAGTTGTCACTATTTCCCTATCAAGGTGGTACTCCTTATGTGCTATTGATACCAGGAATGCCCACCACATTAAGGTCGGTGTCATACTCAGTACAGTGCATTTGTCCCTCTCTTTTCAGAAAGGCATGCTCGGGCATGAGGGGCAGGAGAGCGATGTCATTACAGATTAGCTGGTTAAGATAGGTTTGTGAGCCTGCATCCCCCAGCATCAATCCAACCTCATTCAAAATCAGAATAATGTGTGAGCTTGCTTGTGGGTAGGTTAGCACTTACACCAAACCTATCACCAAACTCAAGCAATTCAAAAACACATGCCAACTATTGATCATTTCCATAAGTAAAATATAGGTTTTTGCCATGGTTTCGATGTGGTGTGTCTCCTAAAGGTTCATCTGCTTGAAGCTTGGTCTCCAGTGTGGCAGTATTGAAGTTTGGAACCTTTGCAATGTGGGGCCTTTTGGAAGGTGTTTAGGTCACGGGGTGGGGAGCAGCCCACTCTAAAGAGGTAATGTAGGTCTTGTGTGTCTGAATTAGTTCCCAGGAGAATGGGTTATTATAAAGCAGGTTCAACTGTTTTAGCTCACTTTCTTGCATAAGTCCCGTTTTTGCTCACTTCCCCTTTCATTTCTCTGACATGTTGGGCAGCCAGGGACCCCTCACTAGGACTCACGTAAGATGTCGTTTGGACCCTCTGGCCACCAGAATCATAAGTCAAATAAACCACTTTAAGTTACCCAGCCTCAACTAAGCTGTTACAAGGCACACAAAAATGGACTATTAAAATATTGTTGTTCAACAAAATGTGCCATGTTGGAAATTCTATTGAAGTTCTAAGCCTCTCTCAGCTAAACGATATATGCCAAATAAGGAAGCATATCAAAAAATGTGACCCTTCAGGGCATTTTAGTAATGAGAAGAAAACCAAATGGAAGAAAATTTAGTATTTCAATGAAGAAAAGAATTCAGAAACAATAATGGCTGGAATATTTTGTGGTGTTCTTTCTACTTATAATTTCCCTAATATTCCTAAGAATATTAGAGTAGGAACTCCATAACCCATGTCCCTTGTTACGTTTCCAGAAATTAATCTTCAGTATTTGATTATATCTCAATCCACATTTAGAGCACAGTGTATGCACAGTACAGTAGTAAGACATCAATACTAAATAGAAAGGCATGTTAAAATCACAAATTGTTCACTTTTTTCTTTGTACTTTTCTTTTTCTAATAGTCTGCCATGAGCAGTAACTATTCTAGTAACTAGAAAAACTTAGCCAATTAAGACAATGCCATTATAGATCTCCCAGAGTAGTTAATATGGGCATTTCATACCCTTCTTTTGGTTTTTTTTCTTTTCCTCTTTAAACAACCAGTTCTGGAAATGAGATGTTCTGCTTTGATGGTAGGCCAGGATCAAATTAAACTACTCCTGAATTTCACAAGGCTAATATTTCAAATTAGAAATTTCAGCTCACTCAACACATTCTAACACACTAGTGCTTGATGAAGCGTTACTTATGTGAATAATTAGTTTGAATAATGAGTGAAAGCAAAAGGACAGTTTTTGAGGCAGTCACTAATTATTCTTCCCTTGATGTTCCTACAAATGAATGTTGAGAGGTAAAGAGGAGGGTGTGGCCGGTGACAGAGGCTCTTCTCTGAAGGGCCTGTCCTAAGACCCAGCACAGAGTTTCTGCCCCTGTGCACACAGGGCTGAGAATAGAATGAGCAAAAATATGTACCCCGCCATTCAAGGCAGACCATATGCTCAACCAGAAGATTTTGCTGCCAGGTGACCACCTAATCACTTCCTCCAAATATTATCCAGTGCTCAGTGATGTGACCTAGTATATAAAACTAAGAGAAAATCTGTTATGCTCAGGTTTAAATAGACACAACTCCAATGGGTTAACTAATTCTACCACTTAGTTAATAGTTTCTATGTTAAAAATCTACATTATACAGTCAATCTTTATGCTATGCTAGTTCATTGTAATGTTATTATTAACACATGATAGTTAATTGAGAGTTTAAAAAAAAAAGCAGAGACCCATAACACATAGCACCTCTCTGGCTTCAATCACAGTTCAATGTAACACCCTTCCCACCTCCAGCCCCGGATGTTCAGAGTCTCTTATTTTGGAGTAAGACCCAGCTGGGGCTTGAAACTGGTTCCAGACGTTCTGTACCATTACCAGATGGTGGAATCTTGTAGGAAGTAATTCTACTATGGATTTTTCTATTCCCTAACCAAGTCTTTTAAACATAATGTGCTTTCTTACCAGCTCACTCAGCCTCTCCATTCCTTAACTAACCAGCATCTCACTAGCTCATCACAAGGAAGAAAGCACAAGAAGGAAATCAGAGAGGGAGAAAGAATCATAGCCTCAAAATCCTGTATATGCTGGTAGAAGCCAGAATTCTTTTTCTTCCCCAACATCAGACTTTCTTTCCCCTCCCCAGTGTCATTTTCCTGCTTTTAGCCTTATTTTGTCTTAAGAATTCCTTCTTTTCTTCAGTCTTATCTGGAGATTCCTAATGTTAAAACAATTGGGATCTTTAGCAACCATTCCATAGTAGGAACACACTGGGTTTGGATTAGAAATATCCCTGTCAATCTTAACCCTCCAACTGTTTTATAAGTGATGTTTGTTAAAAATAAATAAATTAACTAAAAAACCTGCTAGACATTTCCTTGCTTCTGCAAACTATTTTAGCTGCTTAGATAAAAAAAAAAAACCTCAGTCCTACAAAAATAAAAAATAAAGAATCCCTGCCAAAACCAAAAATGTAAGTTACTTTTTAATAAGTTGCTTCATGAAACGGAATTTAGTTTGATTTTTGCCTTTTTTGTTTTTGTTTGTTTATTTTTGTTGTTTACCAACCAGCATTTCCATGCCTGGACCTCACTGATTCTGTGAGCTCCCAAAAATCTATCCCAGAAATTCCCTTTTGCTAAGTTAGCTAGCTTTTTGGTTGCTGTTTTTAGAAATAAAAAGATATTAACCAGTACAACTGGCTCTCATATTTCCTCTTCTCCTTGCTCTGAAATTTCCAGATTTTAAGCCTAGATTAGATCACAATGATCCAAATGTTATCTTGTAGATGAATTTCCCAGATTGGTAAATTAGAATTAAGGAATGAGGAACAGGAGGTGATGGTCAGTGGCGATTTCAGCAGTACAATTACCATGGTGTGTATAAGATACATGGAAGATGTGAGATTGCAGGTGTGTCTGTCTGTAACACTGAGGGTCCAGACTTTGACAAAACAATTTTACTGAGTTGGCTTTGGTGAGGGACTGTGGTAGGATCTCTCCCTTCATCCTTCTGCTGGATACCTTTTGTACTTTGTCGGTAATAAAGACCGTCGAGCTAAGTGTGGTGGCACACACCTATAGTTCCACACGGAGGCAAGAGGATCAAAAGTTCTGGCCAGCCTGGGCCACATAGCAAAACCCTATCTCAAAACAAATAAAGGGCCTAAAGTGTGGCTCAGGTGGTGAAGTACCTGCCTAGCAAGTGTGAGACCCTGAGTTCAAACCCCAGTACTACACTCACACACACACACACACACACACACACACACAAATTAACTGATTAAAAAATAAAATAATGATTACTGAGATGGTTGGGAAAAAGCTAGGGACAAAAGTCTTCAGGCAGTAATGACAGAGGTGACACTGTAGCTCTTATATTCACAGTACTATTCAAAGGCACTTAAGAGCATCGTCATCTTTGCTGGGCTTCACAGCAATGTTGGATGAAGCCAGAGCAGATCTCCACTTTACTGTACACAAAACTGGGCTTCAGAGAGGTGAAGTAAGTTTTCCAGGGGCTTAAGAGTGAAACCTACATCTTTTGGCTTACCTTATAAAGAGACTAAAGAGGTAGGCAAAGTAATGCATTGGCAAAAAAGGGGACAATAGTAAATGAGGGAGGAGATAAAGACCTTTAATCATTAGTAGCTAGCAATGAGGCCCTCCGACCTGTTAGGTCCTGAGGAAGCCCCTTCTAAGATGGGGATACCATCTGGTTGTCTGAGAGAAAGGACAGGCAGGGGACCAGGTGCTCCGTGAATGCTTATTGAATGAACCAGATAGGAATTGGCACCCTGAGGGCGGGCCTAGTGCTCTGTAAGGTGTTTTGATTCCACAGAAACCTATACTTCGGGGCCCTTGAATGGGCTAGGGGCGTGGCTCAAGTGGTACAGGCAAGTGTGAGGCACTTAGTTCCTGAGTTCGAATCCCAGTACCAAAAAACAACAAAAAAAACAAAAAAAAAAAAAAAAAGAAAGAAGAAGCTCTTGGAAATGACTAATACAAGAAGCACCAGACCAAGACTCGGCTTATTAGTCAACTGCAAAAACTTTTATCCTCGGATTTTGTTTTTCCTATGATGAAGTCTAAAATAAGGAACACGTGTGTCTTTCAACAACCCACCATGCAAATCCGGTGAAAAACAGTTGTCTTAGGTTTTGAGTTGCTCCTTTTCCCCCTTTGCGTTATTGAAGTGACCCAAGGCTGCTAAAGAACAGTGGCTGCTTGGCTGCGTTTAATGATCATAAACTCAAGCTCCAAACGAAAGGCGTCCGGGCCTGGAGCCGCGATCGCTCGCTCGCTCGCTCTCTCTCTCTCTCTCTCACTCTCTGGGAGCAGCGTCGCCCAGCGGGCAGAGGCAGCGGGTGTGTTCCGGGGCCGCCCTCCCTCCGCAGCTCTCGGCGCCCACAAGCTGCCACCTCCCGGGGCTGCTCCGCTAACTCATCTGGCGCTGGGAGGCGGGGCCGCGGCTGAACGAGCCCTCGTATTGGCTGACTGGGCGAGGCAAGTCGTGATTGGTGGGCGCTCCAGCCAAAGGGGGCGGAGCCAGTATATCAGTAGAGCGCCTGTCGCGGCGCAGACAGTTGAGCTGCTGGAGTGCGGCGCCGCCGTGCAGCACCCGGGAGCCGGCTGGCTGGCTGGCAGGCAGACGGGCGGACAGACGAGCGAAGGGGTGGCAGGGACAAGAGCGGCGGCCACGGGGCGCAGGGCAGGCGTCTGCAGGGCTGCACCTTCCCAAGGCCAGCCTTCGCCGAGCCCGGGACTGGGTTCGAGCGGCGGCGAGGCGGCAGCCCCGCGCACACCAAAGAGGAGGTGGCCGTGCAGGCAGCGGCGGCCCTAACCATGCTGTGCTATGTGACGAGGCCGGACGCGGTGCTGATGGAGGTGGAGGTGGAGGCGAAAGCCAATGGCGAGGACTGCCTCAACCAGGTGAGGGAGAGGGCCAGAAGGGGGCCCGGTGTGTCCCCGGAGGCCGAGGGGCCTCGCATTAATCCCAGGGACCGGGCGGCGCTGCAGCGGGGCCCGGGGAGCGCGCCCCAGGCGCGGGGCTGGAGCGCCCTCCTCCCCGCGGGCGTGAGGCGCGCATGTGGGGCGCAGAGGGCGTTCGCGGCTGGGGGCGCGGGCACAGCTGGCAGCTGGGAGCCTCCACCTCGTCCCCTTAACCTGGCACTTTCCCGAAAGAAGACTGCGCGGCACACCTGCCGCAGGTGTGTGTGTGTGTGTGTGTGTGTGTGTGTGTGTGTGTGTGTGTGTTGCCGTCTGTGGGGTCCCTGCGAGGACTGGCAACGAACGCCACCCAACGTCCCGGGATGGGGTGGCTCAAGGCACAGCGGTTCCCTGGCAGACTAGTTGGGCCCTTGTCTCTCTCTGCTTCTTAAACGGGGCCATTCACCTGCTTCTCTGGGTTTGCAAGGGGGCCGAGGAGACTGTAGGTCTGGGCTGGCTGCTGCTTGGTTTCTTGTTTTCTTAAGGGCGAAATAAGGTTCCAAACAGCGCGTGCATGATTGGGGTGGCTACTGCAGGGCTGATCCCAAGTGAAACGCTTTGCCTTTAGGTCCTCCAGACCTGAGATGATTGGAAACCTGCTTGCAAAGCCTAGCTGACACTTGTGGCGTGTTTCCTCAATGTGTTTGTTTTTTGGAATTCAGATGGTTAAAATTGCCCAGATAACAAGCTGCCAAGTCAGCTGTGCAGATGGTGCTGGTGGAGGGAATTCCAGTGACTGGAATGAGAAGGAAAATCCCTTGGCGATCTCCCTCCTCAGCTCTTGGAGAAGGCTACTTAGGGGCCGGGGGAGGACTCCTGTTTTCTCTACTGCAGTTGGCCATGCCCTAGGTTGTTAAGGACAAGCCTCCCACTAAGAGCTGGGTTTAGCATCGCTGGAGCCTTGGAACTTCGTTTTCTCAGTTTACAATAGAAACCGAGCACTGTTGCAATCTCAGATGGAGCCTGGGCTGGGATGGGACTGCGTGTACCATTTGCTCATCCAGCTGCATTTGCTTTTGTTGTAGGTGTGTAGGCGATTGGGAATCATTGAAGTTGATTATTTTGGACTGCAGTTTACGGGTAACAAAGGTGAAAGTTTATGGCTGAATCTGAGAAACCGGATCTCCCAGCAGATGGATGGGCTGGCACCTTACCGGCTTAAACTGAGAGTCAAGTTCTTTGTGGAGCCTCATCTCATTTTACAGGAGCAGACAAGGTAAAGTGAGGCCTAAATAAACCAATGTCATACACCTTTGATTCCATTTAGAAGGGGTCATTGCCCCTTCCCAGAGATGTTCCCAGGTAAATTTGCCTTAATGCAAGTTCTCTCAAAACTTCAGTTCGTTTTTCATAAAACAAGTTTGTTTTTCATAAAACAACCTAGTTGGCCTGGATGCCTTTTCCAACTTTTCCTTACAAACTTAATGGGAGAGGAGGGCTGAATTCTTACGGAAAAACAAAGAACAAAAAAAACCTAGACTGACTTCCTGATCGTAGCATCTAATGCCCGATAGTAACCTTGCCTCAGCAGTGTTACTACAGGTCACTGTAGACTGTTCTAACCGAAAGCAGGAAACAGTTCCTCTTGGGTTACTTAAACTTGGTCAACTTCTTCAGCCTAGTGTCAGATTACATGTGCAGCCCAGAGCTCTGTCTGGCTTCATGCAGAATTTGAAAACTTTTTAAGTTTTGGGAAAACTTACTAAGAACTCTTTGAAGGCCACTGTAACTGAACTCCACCTCACAGATATATTACATATGATTGTTGAGTTTTAGACTGTTGAAATTTTCTCTGTTGTGGGGAGGAAAAAAAAAAAAAAGAGCCAAGCCACCAGTAGTGGCAGATAGATGAACCATGTGGTCTCCTTTTTCAAACAAAAAGATGAGTTATTTTCTGGACTGTTTGTAATATTTTTCTCAAGGATGAACTAAGCTAGGAAAGTATTGTTTAATATTAATTGCTGAAATGCAAGAGACTTAAATCTCACAGTGGCATGCTGAAAAATGAAAAAAGAAAATGATTGCTTTTTAAAAAAGAAAACTTTGGATCCAAGCACTGATGTTTTTTATAATCCTTTGGCTTGGAAATGTGCCATGCATGTAAAAAATGTGATTCTGAAAGTTTTGAATAATGAACAGCGAGCAATATCCTTTAAGAGTTTTCAACAGGTAGAACAAAAATTACATGTTCAGCAAAAAGCTAATAGAAATATTTTTAAATACTGTTCACTGAATTTGCAATCTCCACTTTGCCTTGCCATGGAACTTTAAAGGCTAAGGGAAACATTTTAGTTTCTAAAGAAAACTGGCATATTGAATTCTTAGTGCTCCTAAAAATATCTTGGAAAATATTTAAGTAGTTGCATACTAAAGGGTGTTTTAGCTGTCTTTATTAATCAAAATAGGTTTTTTTTTTAACTTAAAGTTGATTTATAAAAAAGCTTCTACTTTGCACTTCACTGGAAAGAAAAAAATACATAACACAACATTGGATTTTTCACTGTGTAGTCATACTATGATTTTGAGGTAACTTCAGGGCCTCTAGATGCAACTCAATTTTACTAACACAAAATTATTTTTTAAATCTGCAAAAACTTGGAGGAACAAATACTTCATTTAAATGATGGAAGTGATAATAATATAATACATTCGTATTGTGAATTCATTCATACTTTCCAGTTGACTACTAGATGGTCTCTACTTATGCTTTCCTGTAATTGGGTCAACAACCATTATCAAAACTATTATAAAATCCATTTTATTCATGCAAAAAGAGGCATTTTATGAATTAGAACTTGAATCAAATTTCCTATCTTGATTTCTCCTTTATTAACTCAAATGACTTTGACTCTTGAGATTTATAGCTAGTATCCCTCAAAGAATGTATCTGTCTAGTTCAAGTGGGTAATTTTAATTGATTTAAATTCCTTTTTGAAATCATGTTGAAAGCTTAGTTTGCTCTAAACTTTTGGCTTACTTTTTTTATGTGGGTGAATTTTACCTGTTGGGGGGTGGCTGAAATATAAAACTTTGAAGAAAATGTCACCTACGGTTGATACAGCATTCTGCTTTAATATCTTGATAAAGTAATTTGTAATTTGTATTTGTACCTTTTAATTACAACATCAGATGTTGTGTTAGGTCCAGTTTACAATTAGCATTGATTGTGTATGCATGAATACTGTATACAATTAATGTGTTAGCAAAATGAAGCTTATTGGTAAACTTTTTGTTGCTCTGTTATTTATTATGAAATATTTGTATAAATACTATGCACATGCAGGAGATCTGCTTGTGTAGTGAATAAATGCAGCTTTGACCATCCAGTCATAAGAGGAGATTTTTTACTAAGTCAAGTCATGAGGGTGCATTGAGTGTACTGAAAGTGTCCAGACAGTTTATTAAAGCCTAGTGAGCAGAGTTGTCCTCTGTGGGCCATTAAGTATCATGCTCACAGTCAAGCTAGGCTAATGGGGGATCGGTTAACATACTAGTGCACATCAGATTAAGCAGGCTGCCGAGAGAGTGACAAGCAGGAAACCAGGCAGAAGCCCTGTGTTCTCGGTTCAACTGTGCCACCAACTCCCAGTTATCCTGGCTTCCAAGCCTATGTCTATCTTTGCATCTCAGTAGACAGCCCAGGAAGAGATTGTCTCTAAATACCTCCCAGTCAGTGATAGCTTTTTTTTTTTCCTTTGTTTCTACTTTGTCTCTATATTATTTTCCTTAATGTTTTCCTAAGTATATTTGTATGAAGACAGAGAAAACATCAAGTGTTGGTTTAGATTGGTAGTCTCTGATTTGGCCTGATTTCTAGATTTGGTTCTCCTAGCCACATTGCTAGGTTTGCTCTTGTATGAGGCCTCCAAAGTAAAAGAGTCTTATTCAACTAGCTGGCACAGTTCAGACATGAAGACAGCAGGTATTTTCAGCAGATGTTTGTCATGCTGTGGATTGAAAAGAAAAGTGAAACAAATTGATGTGTTCTAGAAGTAGATCTGAAATTATAATTCTCTTGGAAATTCTTGCCTTTCACAGATTTTCAGTTATTCATAGTCATTCAGACTAAATTTCAACATTTTCAGAAGCAGACATTAGAGAAGTATGTGCTTCATCTTCACAGTGGTAATTATACCATTCACTGCCAATGAGGTCTTTGTACTTCCCCTGACTTGGCCACATTTTCACAGAGCTCTGTGGTCTTTGCTAGGGAGAATCCTGTTAAGGTTCACCAGCATCAGGAATTCTTTTTCCCAGAAAACATCCCCAATACAATGAGTCCATGAATCCAGAACCAATTGTTCAGAGAATGGTATAGTCCTGGAGATTAAATTTCATCAAGAGTTCAAAGATGGCAACAGTAATGAGCCTGAGTTATCCCTCTTCCTTCCTAACCTCAACTCAGTCCTCAGACCTCTAAAAAGCCTCCTGTAACCCTGGTGACTGAGCTCTCCCAAGATGGCACACATCTTACCTTTAACATTACAGAGGTCCTAACACTACATTTATTTATGTGATAGCTGTTTATTGTCATCACTCTTGTAATCTTACATCCATTAAAACTGATCAGCATTGTGTCCCCAGAATCTAGCAAGTGTCTATTGCATAAATATTTATTAGATAGTAAATTAAGAACCTAGAAATAAAAATGGGTTAATTGATACTAATAGAAGTTTTCTTAAAGATATTGAAATGGTTTTTATCAGTTTGCTTCTGTGTAAATTGAAAAGTTTTGAATATCTTAAGAAAAAAAAAAACTTCAGCATTAAAGAATGTCTTATAGTGATTATTTTCTGTTTAGAACTTGATCAATCTTTAGCATTCTTTTCTTTTTCTCTCATCATCTCATCTACCACCTCCCACACCATGTATTTATTGCTGCTGTTGGTTCTTCCTAAAAACGAACTACCACTCTTCTGGACCATTTATGATGTTCAGATAGTTTAAACTACAGTGTCACTTTATCTTATTTCAACCACTTTATAGTTCTAAGTACTTATTAACTCAGTTTTTCCATGTCTTCCAACAAAAAAATCACATAAATGTGTGGAAATCTAGGAAAGATTTCATCGTTAAAATCCACAGAGCAAAAGTCATAGGCAAACTCTAGGCAAGGGTGATGTGGTAATTTCAAACTAATTCAGAGCTGAATCAAATTGGTCCTAGTGAGGGCCTATAAATTAAGTCCAAAGTCTTTCTTAACTTAGTTGCTTACATGACTTCTCTTTGTGTGATTGAGGGTGGATAAGCTCTTATAAAATCCTATTGTAGTATGTTTGTGTTCTTTGTATGAACTATATATCTAAAAGTAAGGTGATGCTTTTCTTTCTCTCTCTCTCTTTTTTTTTGGGCATGCCCAAATAAAAATAAATTTGTGAAAAAGGCAAAAGCAGATGTGAGCTGGGCAGTGGTGGCCTGTGCCTGTAATCCTATCTGCGATCAGGAGGATCAGGGTTCCAGACCAGCCCCAGTTTAAAAAAAAAAAAAAGCTTATGAGACCCCATCTCTACCACATAGGCTGGTCTGGACATGATGTTATGATCCTGTCATCCCAGCTATGGTGGGAAGCATAAAATCCTAAGTTCAAATCCCAGAACTACCACCAAAAAGAAAAAAAAAAAAAGCAGATGTGTATTATTTCCAAAGCAAGTATTAATTGAATTCAGTTTATTTCTTTTTGCCAAGACCATAAGATGTTTGTGTTTTTATATGGAATTCCCATCTGGGTATCATCAGCCTTTAAGTTTCTGACACATACCTGGATGAATAACAGTTTTTAAAATGGCATTTTAAATAAAATCTAATTGGAAGGCACTCAAGACCACATTGGCAACTGTGTGGAGCAGGTACCAGAATACCAGGTGTATTTTCTCTCTCCTACCTGCCCATTGCCAGGTCCCAATGGTCTTCTATCCAAGTGACCAGACCTAGCAAGTAACTCGTGATTTGAAGGCAGATAAACACATGATTAGGTCTCATAATTCCTGAATCGGCCTGCATTATGGAATAAATGCACCTAATAGCACTCTTGAGTAATCTGGACCATTGAGAAAGAGATACCACTGTGTGGATTACCATTGCCCAGACTGGAGGTTTGCCTAGATAGGTACCTGTTGTTGTAAATATGCACACCTTTTTTAGAAAAGCAGACTTTGTGCGTTCAAGTGATAATACTCTTCTGGTGTGAACTGTAATCACTCTTGAAGTTGGGCACTT